TTATATCAAATTTATACTAAGAGGTCAAATGTGAATTATAGTCTCAAAAATATAAAAAATAACTCCCACTTTACAATAAAAGTAGGCCCTAGTCAATAAAATTAGGCATTTTCTTTCATAGTCCAATATGATATAGAAAAAACAAAACTTGTAAGGAAGCATAATCATTAACAATTACATTCTAAAATATTTAGAGACCTCTCAATTTAGTAAATTGTATTAGATCCTAAGAAAGAAATCTAAATTTCAAGTCCAAGTTTTTTCTTTATGCATAAGGCCACTTTGAGAACACATTCTCTCCAAAGATTTCCAAAAGTTTTTCAATCAAACATTATCAGCATGTATTATATCGTCTCACATTTGGTTCCACTATATACACCATATATTTTTCTTTCTTACATGCATAAACTAAAAGATGATATGAAAAGTACTCTGAAGGTATTATTCCAGTCTCAAGATAGCACTTCAATAAACACTACTTTTAAAAAGTGAGTCACAGAACAGTTTTCTTCTTGCTTCATTAAAAATATCTTCCAGTCCCTAAAATGGAAGATATATAAGCCACAATCTACAGCCAAATAATTTTGGCAATTTTAAAAATTAAAGAATGAGTGCTTCTCAGGGGAGATGATTAACTTAATGAACTAAGGCAAACTAGCCTGAATGTCTACCGTAAAGAAATAGTAATAGCAAAATAAGTAAAAATGAAAATGTGTTACTTTACAATATGCCTGTTTTTAACTCTTTAAAAGGGAGCAGACATGTAAAGTCAAGTATTTAATGTGAAATACATACTATGGCTATTAGAACATGGGATTAAAGTTTATCACCAAGTTTTGCCAGGGTTTTGTATCATTTCAGGCAGGCTAATATTAAGAATTATATTAAATAGGCAACTGCTGAAAATATTAGGACAAAAGAAAAACTTTAGAAGCAAAAAATTTAAACTAATGACTTATCTCAAACACAATAAAACTGCATACCATGTAGAACGGTGCATTTTATTTAAAAAGAAAAAAACTAGGCAAATGGCATATAAACCTTAAAAAATTTTAATGTTTAAATTTCTTGCATATCTTCACTTTATAAAATTACTTTTCCTAACCACTTTAAAAGAAAGTAGTTGTTTAATAGTAAAAACTACAAAAGATTTTCTTTAAATAATATTAAATTCTTGGAAAGGGAAACTGTATTTCGCCAAGAAAGTTACCATACTATTTTCACCTGTTATGCTATAATTCATACAAAGTTACAAATGCATATGACTTTTATCTTTATAGGAAACAGTAGCATTAATAAGTCTCTAAGGGCCTGATAGATTCGTAGTGATTCTTTGTTTCACACTTGAAATGTGGCAGAAAATATTCCCACTTGTTACTCATTGTCTGGAAGCACTGTCCTAACTACAAAGTAACAACAACTCTTGCTCCTGTACTGCCCGAGCATTAAAGACTAGTCCACAAAAGCAAACACAACTAAACTTCATCCCCACGACAGATACTCTGAGGCAAGGAAAAAAAGTTAAATCACTAAAAAGCTCTCTAGGAAAATCTAGAAACAGTTAGCTGGCTGTGACATAAACCTGCCAACACCTCAGCACACAGTGGCAAAGTGCCCAAAAAATGCCACCCTCTGGGTAAACCACTTTCTTGTTTTAACTCGAGATGAAGCTACCAGTTGCAGATGAGAGGCGACGGGGGCATTATTTGGCAACCTGGAATTCACTTCCTGTAATTCTACACCGCGACAGTGCCTAATCAACCTGAACCCTGACACTCGGGCCATTATCACCGGGCCGCGGGCTGCGCGCGCCTCCTTGCTCCGGGCTGTTACCTCCCACGGCCTTGGCCACGGCGCCGTTGGGCCTCCCGCGGGCTCCCATGGGGCTGCCGTTCTGCTCCAGCCGGGCCACCTTCACCGGAGGAGGCCCCTTGACGTCGGGGCTGCCGCTCCGCCGGTCGGGGCTGTCCCGGAGACACGGGCTCTCGCTCCGCCGCTCCATGCTGCTCCGACTCGGAGACAAAGTTCCCACCGGCAGGTCGCAATAAAACGCGCAGGGACCTAGGGAGGGGGCGGGGTGAGGGGAAGGGGAGGGAAGAAAAAAAGAGGGAAAACCGCTCACACACGTGATAGACGTTCAGGCCAGTGGCAGAGCGATGCACCACAGCCACACAAAGTTCCTCCCACGCTGCCCGAGGGGCCCGAGCCAGGAAGCCGGTCCCAATCATACACTGGGAGGCCCAAAGGCAGCCTAGAGCATGGGGTGCTGCGACTCTGCCCAGTCGCTGTTCCCCAAGAGCTAGCCCTTGGTGACAACGTCGGGGCCCGCACCCAGGGGCGCCCAGAAGTGGCCTATCCACTGGAACAGGATAGGCATTAACCGTTCCCGGGTGCGACACCTTCGCCTTTTGGGGGTCTGGGTTGCAGAAGAATTGCACTTCATGAAAAGACATCTCACCCACTCAAAGAGCGGGTGGGGGATGTACACAGATCCGTAAGAAACAGAATAAACCACACGATGAATGCTCTGCGAATTGGCGGGGCAGGAGCCAAAGGCCTGGAAAAGGACCTGCTGATTCCTCGGGTTCTACCTTTACCGAGTCAGTCTTGAGACACACACGTTTTGCACAAAATCCACCCTAATTCCTCATTAATAAGCGTCCGAAAACACTTACAGGTACTCATCAGAATAACCTCCAGAATAACAACCTTCATCACAAGGGCGAGGGCTACAATCGTTATTATTTTTGGAACGTTCTTATCTTCATCTGATCCTAAGTGATTTAAAAAAAAAAAAAAAACTCTTCGGCATAAAACACAATAGCCAAAAAAGCATTTAAATTATCAGGTGCGGGAGCAGCCTTCATCAAACCCAATTTTTAAATCTCTCCAAAAAGTTTTCCTCTGGGTCGCTTGGCTGGCAGCGCTCTCCTCACAGAACCCGCAGATCTCAGCACCCCTGGATTTTTTTTTTTTTGGAGTGGGGGGGCGGAGGAGAGGAAAACACCTGATGAAAAGGCACTCGCACTGTCACTGACATCCCAGAGAAGCTGGAATCCGGCACAATAAAGTGCGCTGGGAATCCTCTCGCGCGCGCTCTCGCCGTGGGAGAAGCCGCGTCGCCACGGCTCAAGAAGACAAGGTGGGGGGGGCAGAGGGGAGGTGGCA